TTAGATCTAATACCTACTATAGCAGTAATCTTAGATCTAATACCTACTATAGCAGTAATCTTAGATCTAATACCTACTATAGCAGTAATCTTAGATCTAATATTTGCTATTAGCTGTAATCTTAGATCTAATATTTGCTATTAGCTGAAATTTTAGATCTAATATTTGCTATTAGCTGTAATCTTAGATCTAATATTTGGTATTAGCTGTAATCTTAGATCTAATATCTGCTATTAGCTGAAATTTTAGATCTAATATTTGCTATTATCTGTAATCTTAGATTTAATATTTGCTATTAGCTGTAATCTTAGATCTAATATTTGCTATTAGCTGTAATCTTAGATCTAATATTTGGTATTAGCTGTAATCTTAGATCTAATATTTGGTATTAGCTGTAATCTTAGATGTAATATTTGCTATTATCTGTAATCTTAGATCTAATATTTGCTATTAGCTGTAATCTTAGATCTAATATTTGCCATTAGCTGTAATCTTAGATCTAATATTTGCTATTAGCTGTATTCTTAGATCTAATATCTGCTATTAGCTGAAATTTTAGATCTAATATTTGCTATTAGCTGTAATCTTAGATCTAATATTTGGTATTAGCTGTAATCTTAGATCTAATATTTGGTATTAGCTGTAATCTTAGATCTAATATTTGCTATTAGCTGTAATCTTAGATCTAATATTTGCTATTAGCTGTAATCTTAGATCTAATATTTGCTATTAGCTGTAATCTTAGATCTAATATTTGGTATTAGCTGTAATCTTAGATCTAATATTTGGTATTAGCTGTAATCTTAGATCTAATATTTGCTATTAGCTGTATTCTTAGATCTAATATCTGCTATTAGCTGAAATTTTAGATCTAATATTTGCTATTAGCTGTAATCTTAGATCTAATATTTGCTATTAGCTGTAATCTTAGATCTAATATTTGCTATTAGCTGTAATCTTATATCTAATATTTGCTATTAGCTGTAATCTTAGATCTAATATCTGTTGATTATATGTACTCTTTATATCTAATATCTGCTTTGTTGATCACAGGGCGTGTTTGAAATATCTAACCATGACTGGTCTACCGCATCTGTGTCTATACTTAATGTTATCAGCGATGGAAAAGGTGTTTTCAACATCGCTGCAGATCAGACATTTTATATCGAATATAGCCCTGCTGAACTGCGCAGAGTTCATCCACGTGTTAATTTTGTTGTTGAGAAAAGTGGAGAACTCTATTTACCAGTGGATTTCAGAATTAATGGAGATAATACACCAGCACTGTATTTAAATGGACGACTGACAGGCGTGGTTAATTTAACTCTTGCCACAGGCAAAGAAATGTATGTTGATGTTGATGCTTCAAATGCACAAATAGAAAATGGAACATACACAAATCCACCGCAACCAGGTACATTCATATTTGTTTTTTTTATTTATTGTTGATTTAATACACTTAACATTTGCATTTGAATAATTTTGTCATTGGTAATATTTTTAATATTTAAAATTCTTGACACAGTCAACAATCGAGTTCTACTTCAAGTCCCCATGGCAAGTTTACAAGAGAGTGCCTGATTGGCTACCTAATCCTAACACCTAACTGTTAGACCAATCAGAGAGCTGCTTGTTTGTTCACAGGTATTTTTGACATATCAAGTTCTGGCTTGTATATATGCTTCAACTCAACTGTACTAATGTTGTGTTTCACAGGAACCTTGGCTATGGGTCATATTAAATTAGAGTCTACCTCCAGATTAATATTCCCAGAGAAGATCAGTTTAGAAGTTAATGACCTGACAATGCGATACAGCTCCATACTGTCGGCTGATGAAGTATTTATTAGTGCATCAAATATCCACATAGAAGGAGGGGCAGTGATTACTACCAGTGGACGTGGTCCATCATTAGGTGACAGTCCTGGGTTGACCATCAATGGTACAGATCATGGAACTGGTGCTGGACATGGTGGATATGGTGGAGGAAGTGATGTCATTGAATATGCATCAGGTAAGAAGGTTTGTTTATTGAAAGATGAATGGTCAGAGCTAGTTAAAACTGACTGGCAAATTACAGCATTTACAAAGTGATACTCAGATTGCTTGAATATTGACACAACAAATAAGCCAAATTTCTGTGCTGTCAAAAATTTGAGCAGAAAAAATGGCCTAGTGCATTGATTTTTACAATTTTCTATTGAATTGTTCAAACCTTTCATCACCAGTCTTTCTTGCCAAAATTTGACTGCACTTTTTTCTTGTATTCTTCAATATTTCTGGAAATGAATTTGAGTCAATCTTTAGTTTTTACTCAAATAATTTGGTTATTTTTCTCTCAATTTTCTGAAGAATAGTGCAGGCTATAAACAGGACTATTTTGTGAATTTGTGTTGAAAAAGGGAAACTGGTGGTGAAAAAGGTTAATACAATACAATGTATCTAACATATCTATTATAGTTTATAAGTCACACACAAAATCACTGTACCTCAGCTTGGACTACCTACAATGTAGTTTCAGTGAACACATATCAAGTGACACTTAATTTGTTTCTAATTAGTTAAGAAGTACATTTGCTGGGGTAAATCAGAAACTAATTTCTTATGGAAGGAAAAACAATATTATTCATTCTATTTCATTGGCAGGAATGAAGTGAAGCATTACAAACATTAATTCAATTAAAAATGTTGACATTGTTTTCATTATATTTTTGTACTCTCATTTCAAGATGACAGAGTGTAACTATTCATCATCCCCCCCTTGAACAATTTGATTCTTTTCTTTTTGAAAAACCACAAAACTGATTGTTTTGATTTCTGATTGTTAAAAACACTTCGGGTAGAACACTATCATATTTGTTCATTTTGTGATATTAATTTTTTTTTTGGTCTAAATATACATACATAAAGATAACCAAATTGACCAAACCTAAGGATTGAGTGGTTGCCATTTAGTTGAACGTGATGGGGACCATATAACAATATGATGCACAATGTACACTAGCCTCTCATACATATATAGCTATATACTCATTTGATATTTCACCCAGGGACCCAACAAATTTGTCATCTTGTACCATAATCCCTCAGGTTGATTTGACAAAACTGGATTGTAATAGATGGTCTTGTAAAGAATTTGACGCAACCATCTGTCCATCTTGTTTCACTTGCAAGTAATTTAATTAATGTATGTCAGTATATAGCGTATATATATATATATATATATATATATATGCTATGCTTTCAGTATTTCATATTTCTGTGATGACCATTTCCAATTGACAATAATGACACATTGTTTTATTAAAATAAGAATCCAAGTAACAGCTATTGTTGCTTTAATTAAATATTTTGCCTATTCAACACTAGGACTTGGATATGGTTCCTACTCCATACCTGTACACAAGGGCAGTGAAGGAGGAGGCGATCTTGGCGGTGCTGGTGGTAGTCTTATTCGCTTAGATATTGGTCATGAGATTCACCTAGATGGAAGACTGGAGAACGATGGACAGGATGCTACAGGTGGAAACTCTGGTGGTGGCAGTGGTGGTAGTATCCATATATCTACACTGCTCTTCTCTGGTCATGGCATCATATCCGCTAATGGTGGCAATGGCGAAGGATTTGGATATGGAGGAGCAGGTGGACGAATTGCTGTCCATGTATCATGGCTCAGAGAATTTGCGGGTATTTACAGAACATATGGAGGATATGCAGGTGTGCTTGTGAGTGGAACAGACAGCAATGGTGCGGCTGGTACTATTTACTACACAGACACTAACCAAGGAATAAACTTCCGGAAAGCATCATATGATGAATTCAACAAGACTCTCTGGCAAGATGGTTTCCGTAAACTCTATCTTGACAATGACAATAGAAACCATGTACTGCCTACAATTGTTGTGAGTGAAAACGACACTAGTTTTGAATTTGATGAAATAGAAATACATAATCATGTTGTATTTTGGTTGGACAATGTGGTGAGTGTTCTTACTGTGCATAAGTTTGTGGGTGATAGAACTGGTTTAATGCACCTTAGAGCAGGGCAACGGATGTTCTGTGAAGTTGTAGAATCTCAATCTGGATTCACTATTGCTCCAGTTAGTTATAAAGTTGATAGTGGTGCTGAGGTTGTGTTTCCATCTATGCTCACACTGCTTGGAACAAGATCTCTGATTGAAGGTCTTATCACTGGAGTTAATGATCTTAGACTCGCTGAAGGTGCAGTGACAATATTCACATCTACAACTCAGACAGCTCTAATGGAAAATGGAACGTACACCCATATGACCACACCTGGCAACATAAGCTTCAGCTCTATCACAGTACAGAAAGATTCTGTAATTGAAATGACCCAGGTAGAAGGAGATCTTACAGTCACTGCAACAAACTTAGCAATAAAATATTATGGCACAATTCACATGAATGAAGGAGTTATAAGTACTGGCAATTCTTGGATAGAGAGTCAAGGTCTATTACAACTAAGCTATCGTGGATATCCTGCTGAATCTGGTCCAGGTGCTGGTGAGAGTTCTGCTATTGGAGTGGGTTATGGGGCAGGACATGGAGGACATGGTGGAGCTGAGGAACCATTCACAGGTGGTGAAGCATATGGCAATTTATATCACCCCACTGAAAAGGGTAGTGGAGGAGCCAATGCAGGAGGCAAAGGCGGCAGTGGAGGTGGAGTTCTGTACTGGGACAATGGAAAAGAGCTGCGAGTGGATGGATACATACGATTGCAAGGTGAAGATGGCATCGGGGGTAACAGTAGTGGAGGAAGTGGTGGAAGTATCTTGATTGATACAATGAATTTTACAGGACATGGTGAGATCAATGTAAATGGAGGTAATGGTGCAGGACTTGGGTATGGTGGATCTGGTGGACGCATTGCTGTGCATGTACATCACAAACATAGGTATGCTGGCAAATACAAGTCTGTTGGTGGAAGCAATGATGGGATGAATTTTGCAGCTGCTGGCACGTCATACAAGGAAGAGACATCTCGTGGTCCCCAATACCAAGACATTAAATATGATAGGGATACAAATTCAACCTATGTAACAGCAGCACATTCATATTTGCACATTGATAATGAAGATCAACATGTGCCTTGGCTGTTTACAATGCTAATGGAAGGTGAAAAGGATTGGTATGAACTTGATGAAGCTCATGTAACAAGATATGCAAATGTACGAATTCATCATCCTACTGCTTCTCCTAATGTAACTGTTGTAATCCACACATTCCTTGGTGATAAAACTGGGTTATTCAATATACAACTAAATCAGGTACTCTATGCTGATGTAGTCGAATCAGTGACAAATGAGACAGTGGCACCAGTGAGTTACTACATCGATGAAGGTGCAGAGATTGTTCTTCCATCAACTGTCAATATACGTGGTACACGTACTGTCCTAGCTGGGTTGATCACAGGCGTGCATACATTACACATAGCAAAGGGAGGAGATGTAGTCTTCCAATCATCAGGACAAACTGCAAGGACTGAGAATGGAAATTATGTTGATGTCTCACCACATGGCAATTTCTCTTTTGCTAAATTCTCAGTCGAAAGGAATTCAAAAGCTGAGTTTCAACAAATCAATCACCCTATGAGTATCACTGTTAGTGAATTCAAAGTCAAATATCAAGGGGAATTGTACATGAATTTTGCTAATATCATATGTTCCTATGCATGGATTGAAAGTCAAGGCATTTTTCAGTTGGATGGACGAGGACACTATCCAGAGGAAGGCCCTGGTGCTGGATGGACAACTAATGATACCATAGGGATGGGTGCTGGTCATGGTGGTCAAGGTGGTGGCACACCTCCATATGGTGGCAATGCATATGGTTCTGTCTTCAGGCCACTTGAACGGGGGAGCGGAGGTGGAAATGGGAATGGCACTGGTGGCCGTGGAGGTGGTGTTCTCTTCTGGCAAGTGGGAGAGCGTCTTGAATTAAATGGTGAATTGGCATTACGTGGACTCCCAGCAGAAGGTTGGGACTCTGCAGGAGGAGCAGGAGGCAGTGTGCTGATAGAAACATTGAATATGACTGGGCATGGTGACATTACCGTACATGGAGGGGCAGGTACAGGCCGTGGAGGAGGTGGTGCAGGTGGGCGCATTGGGATACACTGCCAGTGGAGATTTCAGTATGGTGGGCGATTTGTCAATTATGGTGGTAAGGGTGGCAATGGAAATCGTGTTCATCATGGAGGTGCAGCTGGAACAACATATAAAGAGGAGAATTATAGAGAACTGGAATACAGACATAAAAAGTATGATAAAGTTTACAATGTAACTTACTTAGCTGTGGATCATACTTATATACACATGGATAATGATGGCAAAGTTGTACCTGTAGCCACAATGATTATGGAGGACTATAGAGTGGAATATGAATTTGATGAATTAGAAATCACAAGTGCTGCTAGGTGCGTCTTCTATCATCCAGATAACACAACCCAAGTGGAACTTATTGCTCACAAATTTATAGGAGACAGAACTGGCCAGTTGCATATACAGCTCAACCAAACTGCATATATTGAAATAGTTGAATCAGAAACCAACAAGACATTAGCACCTGTAAGCTACATAACAGATGCAGGATCTGAACTGATTCTACCTGAAGAGTTTCATATTCACGGAACAAA